TTCCACTGCTAGCCACTATCCAATTTTACTCTCACTAATGTTTCAATGTAACCTTTTAACTACTCATTAGTAGTATGGAACCTAATGAAAATATTATGAAAAAAACCATATGGTAGAAATACTTTTGTGTTTAGAGAATTTTTATTTTCAAGTGATCATTTGCTTGTCAATTACTGCTTCATATCAGTAATGCTAAGATAACATTCTTGAGATATGCTCCCTCTTGTACGAACTGGATCTATCTGAAGAGTAGTACTCCACACACCCAAAAGTAATGCTTCATTCGACTGAAGAGAGAGGTTAGAAACTCAAGGAAAGCTTATTATTCAATAGAATTAAGCATTTGACAGAACGACCCAGTTTTCATACCAGTGAATACAGAATCACAATAGCAGTCTAAAAAGTTGAGAACAAACAATCAAATAATGGAAAAAAGCAAAACAAGGATATGTAAATAAGAAGCGGGTAAGATAGCGGTTGTAGATAGTCAACAGGTAATGCTGAACCCGTGTTTCACGCTATTTGGCACTCGTTACCAGGGTGTACCTAACAACGGGTGGTGACCAAGAAATTTATGATAAATTTCGGTCCAACAGGAAATAAGTCGCGGCCATGATAGCTCCGTAGGGTGACACAGGATCTGATACATCAGGGAGCATCAGTTACCTGAAGATGATAGATATACCTTGCTGATGAGTGCAAAATAGCAAGAAACCTAGGTCAAGGGTTTCCTGTTGACTAACTCTAACCACCATCTTATCTCAACATAATGCACACAATGTCGAGTCATCTAGACTAGTGAACACATCGCCATTTGGTCAATAGTATTCGATCTGCACTAAGAAGGACCTGAAACTTATGACATTGATCACCACGCGCGAGAGTAGGGAGAGTCAGCTCTCACTCTCAAAATGCTCTCACAAGGTCACATGCAAACAACCACTGTTAGAGAGGTCCTACTCACTGTGTCATTTACGAAATTGAGAAGACGAAAATTGAATGTTTGGTGTTGTAACCAAGTTTCAAGATATGGAGGATCTACCCAGTAGAGTTGAAAAACTCTCATTCGAAATCAGTGGTGCACATGGACTCCAGAATCCAGAAAGAAACAAATAACGTATGAACCAATTGCTGGTCATTTGCTACTATGTAACTGCATCTCCAGACGTCACTCCACCGCCTTGTGGATTAAACCTTCAGGTCGAAGTCTCTAGGGTATGGCCTTCTAAGAAAACCACCTGTTTCTGTTTGGGCACCCGAGCAGTATCACAGTCCAGTAACGAATCGAATGATGAAGTGTGATGCATATATATTTGGTGCCTTCTTGTACCAATGTTTATATGTTTAAATAAAAGCTTATTAAATATTCATTAGTCTTAAGGTTAAGCGTTCGCGTGCGAGACCGAAAGTCCTCGGTTTGAATCCTGCGTGTGGGATCATGGATTAGCATTATTGTGGTGTCCCATACTAAAACGAAATGCTCATCCAGTGCTTACAGGATTTCCATGATGATCTATGTTTATACGTGGAGAACTACGAAAGCTATCACCCAGAAGTTACAGAAGTTTATTAACAGTTGTCTACGCAAAATACTTCCGATCCGTTGGTCAAATACTATCACCAACAATCTATTGTGGGGGACAACAAAACAGATTCCAACGGAGGCAGAAATCAGGAAGAGGCGTTGGAAGTGGATAGGAGACACATTGAGGAAATCACCTAACGGCATCACAAGACAAACCCGCACATAGAATCCTCAAGGCCAAAATAAAAAAGGAAGGCCAAAAAACACATTATGCCGAGAAATCGAGACAGACATGAGGAGAATGAACAAAAAACTGATAGAACTAGAAAGGAAGACTCAAAACAGAGTGGGTTGGAGAATGCTGGTCGGTGGCCTATGCTCTATTAGGAGTAACAGGTGAAAGTAAGTAAGTCAGTAACTAAGTAAGTAAGTAAGTAATTTTGTTCCTAATAATAAACAGTCTACAAGTTAGATGGTGAAACGTTTTTTGATTATTCTATTTCCTATTCTACTTTATAATACAAATTATTATTATCTACACAAAACCCCTTGTGATAATAATAATAACAATCATATGCTCACTAGTGACTCGATTTGAGAGGTAAATCCTGGAGTTCTAGTAAGAAGCAGTGACCAGTGGAGTTCAAACCACATCTGTTGTGAGATATCAACTCACTGAAGACAATTAGTGAACGGTTGCTCAACTTCGTGGATTGGTTGGAGTTAAAGATAAACACTATCGTATACCGGCTCAGTGGTCTATCGGTTAAAGGCTCTGGCGCGAGACTGGTGGGTCCTGAGTTCGAATCTGGTGGGTGCCGGATCGTAGATGCGCATTGCTGAGGAGTCCCACAATAGAACGAAACGGCCGTCAAGCAGTGATTCCAGGTTTTCCCTGGTGGTCTAGTTTCAATTGACTTGCGCTTTCAATTATTATTATTACACTATTTTATATTTTAAAAAAAACACAAATCTACTCATTTCATTCTATCTGTCCATCATTTTAAATAAAGAATAAAAACAAATTATCTATTCAATTACCATGAAATAATCATTATTTAAATGTCATAGAAACAAACAAAGAGGGGGGATATAACAATTACACACACTTAAAATAGATATTCACTCAACTTTCCCCACGCCCCCTCCAGCCTTCACTCTCACTCCCTGTACTATTCAATTATCATGAAAGAATCATCATTTTAATGTCATAGAAACAAACAAAAAGGGGGGGATATAACAATTACACACACTTAAAATAGATATTCACTCTACTTTCCCCGTCCGTACCCCCTACCTACTCTCCACCCCCGCACTCCCTCTACTTCGATAAATTATGTAATTAGATATTTATTTATATAATATCTCTATGTGTCATTTATGTTGTGTTTTTATTTTTCAATAGATGATAGATGAATGATTAATTTTAAGGGTAACATGTTTATCATAAATAGTTACTTATAAGTAATATAACACAATGTGATTATGACATGTATTGAAATGTTCTTATTTCAAGGGGTAATAATTTAAGTTTTTTCATTTATTTATAAGAAGAGACAGCTTCTCTCTCATAGAGGAAAGGCAAAAACACGTAGAGAAACTTACTAATTTGCGCATGTTACTCCTGATGGAGTATAAGTCGCTGACCAGTATTCTCCAACCCACTCTGTCATGGGACTTCCTTTCTAGTTCTATCCAATTCTTGTTCATTTTTGTCATATCTGTCTCTATTTCTTAAAGTAATGTCTTCTTTGATCTTTCACTTTCCCTTTAGCCTTGAGGATTCCATGTAAGGGCTTGTCTTGTGACGCATTTGAGTGATTTCCTCAATGTGTGTCCTATCCACTTCTAGCGCTTCTTCCTGATTTCTTACTCCGTTGTAATCTGGTTTGTTCTCTTTCACAGTAGAATGTTGCTTATAGTGTCTGGCCATCGGATCCGAAGTATCTTGTGTAGACAACTGTTAATAAACACTTTTATCTTCTGGATGATGGCTTTCGTAGTACTCCACGTCTCCGCCCCATACAATAGAATTGTCTTGACATTTGTATGGAAAATTCTAACCTTGGTGTTGATTAACAATTGTTTTAAGTTCCAGATGTTTTTCAGTCGTAAATATGCTGCTCTTGCTTTGCCGATCCTCGCCCTAACATCTGCATATGATCCACCATGCTCATCAATGATGCTCCCCAGATATGTAAATTTACTTCTGACAAACGATTATGTAATGCTCAATGGTTGAAGATAGTTATGAAGACGATATAAGAGTTATGTATTAAGTGAAGTTAGTCAGAAGGAAATGATAGTTGAATCAAAATTCATGGTGAAGACAAATGATAGATGAATTCCAAGTGACCATCGGAGTAATAAGAGATGGTTAAATCTCTCACTGTTTCTATCTTCTGGTGATTGACTGGATTATGATGATAACGGCATCGAAGAGGAGACAAGGAATCTAATGGACGGTTAGGAATCAGTTAGAAGATTTGGAATACTTAGGTGAATTAACCTTTCAACTTCATACACATCAACAAATGCAGTTCAAGACAAACAGTGTAGCAGAAATATCTGCAGCAATATGCCTCAACATACATAAGGGAAAAAGCAGGATCCTCAAATCCAACACAGAGAACACCAACCAAAGCACACATGATGCTGCAATTCTGGAAGAGATGGTAAAACCCACATATCTAAGTAGCATCGGAGATGAACGTGGAGGATATGATGCAGAGGTAAAACTGAGGATTGGCAAAGGAAGGACAGAATTCATATGGTTGACGAACATATGAAAATCAAAAAAGTGTCAAAATAAATCAAATTGAACAACATCAAAACAAACATCAGGAGAGTTCTAATGAACGTGGCTGAAAATAGAGCATAAACATAATGATATTCGAACAGGTAAAAGTATATAAAAAGGCATAACTAGTTACTAAAAACATAGTTACATCAAAAAGTAAATCCACAAACAGTGAATAGTATAAATGTTAGGTGACAATGGATTAAACACTCGATTTATTAGTAAACATAAAAACATGTGTAAAGCGTGATTCGAAGAAAACATAATCTAGTCGTACCAGACAGTCGTGCCAACTGAGTCGACTGTTAGTGTCACACTCACTCACACACACTCTTCTCCACTCTCCCACACTCCTAACATCAGTACACTCGGAGGCTAGACGACGCAAGCAAGCATCTCAACTGACCAAGTTCACAATACCGGTTGCGCTCAACCATGTCAAACCCGTATGCTATAGACTGTAGTTTGAAAAAGCTGATGAGGGATGTGAATGAGTCGAGATATGCATGACCACTGATTATCGGGTATGCACGTGTGAGAGTGAATGATGCAACTTGTGGCTAACCGAATAACCAGAGGATTTGGATGTAGTTGTCTCTGACGAACATATTCGTTGAACAGCATAATTTATAATCAATTTCCAACTGCCTAGAGAATTCTTCCTGATTTCCATTGATGAGAGGTTTGGTAAATAAGTCCAAAACTACCACAACCACTACTACTACTACTACTGCTACTACTACTACTACTACTACTACTATTGCTACTACTTCTACTACTAATGCTACGACGACGACGACAACAACAACAACAACAACAACAACAACAACAACGACCACTACCACTACCACTACTACAATACTACTTCTACTACTCATTTTACTAGTGATGTGTCCACGAATTCTAATTGTATTACTTTGAATAACTTCACGATGTCAGCTAGTGGCGAAATTTCCCCTCCGTGAAGGGAGATATTCAGATGAGAATCCTCACTATTCGACCAAGACAAGTGACAATTTGTCGCGTTACCCAAAAGTTCGCATCATATTCCCCATATAGAATCGTGTGACTATTTCCCCTCTCTGTTTGTTTGAGGAATGCTATGCGAAATGTGAAGTTCGTATACGTGTATGTAAGCGGATTGAGTGGTTGAAAGTGTTGGTTGGAGTGTAGTATCTGGTGATGTGGTCGATTGTACAACGGTAATGGAATGCCAATTGTCAATGAATAGTCATCAACATCTTGTGAGTGTGCGTACAATCGAGTGGTTGAGGCGTGTTAATGCGAATTGGAGTAACGAATGTGTTGTTTGTTATGGAGAGGGAATAAGTGGCTGGTTGTGTCAGTAGGAGTGATAGTGAAGTGAGTGAGTGAGTGAGTGAGTGAGTAGTCAGTTGGAGGTGGATATGAGATGTTTTGGAAAAAGGCCATCCGAAAGTAGCGGATGTGTCATGCCTCAGGAGAGTGGGCATCAGATGCCCTGTCCGACCTTGTGCAGGGGACTGCCAACCATCTCTCCTTTTCTGATGCACGAGTGTTGTCTGACAATCCTAAAACACCTCACTACAACACACTTCACAATCAACCACGTCATTCGTTTGCACGTCTTATCCCAATCTAATTAATTAATCATCGAATCCACAGCACACACTTCTACACATCATCTACACTACAATATACAGTCGCCAATCAAATTACTCACCAACAGTAGTGCATTCACACCACAATTCATCAACACCTCATCAGTAGTATATTCAGTTCACACAACAAATTTCTTTTCATGCACTCCACTTTTCATGCAACACCAAACTACTGTCGCGCACTTCAGTAGCACAATGAGGTCAACTAAATATCGTCGGTTTGTGTTGTGTAGCATAGCATAGCATTGCATTGCGTCGCGTTGCGTGGTATGGGATGTGATGGCATGGCATGGAATTTCATTGCATTGCATTGCGTTCTGCTGCACCATCTCCTTGTCTCATACTCTAGTCGTACCAGACAGTCGTACGACAATATGCGTGACATTTGTTTTGGGGAATCGTGTGATTTTCAAATGACATTGATCAGGCCTGTTTCATGCTTAATACTATGGTGATAAAGGATGCAGTACCAACTGGTTACATTCCACCAACCCTGTATATCTGTTTGTGCGTGACTGATGCACACGATGGTCCTCCCACATTTTCCCATTCCCTTCTCTCCTTCACATTCTCGTGTCAACTGAGTCGACTGTTAGTGTCGCACTCACTCACACACACTCTTCTCCACTCTCCCACACTCCTAACATCAGTACACTCGGAGGCTAGACGACGCAAGCAAGCATCTCAACTGACCAAGTTCACAATACCGGTTGCGCTCAACCATGTCAAACCCGTATGCTATAGACTGTAGTTTGAAAAAGCTGATGAGGGATGTGAATGAGTCGAGATATGCATGACCACTGATTATCGGGTATGCACGTGTGAGAGTGAATGGTGCAACTTGTGGCTAACCGAATAACCAGAGGATTTGGATGTAGTTGTCTCTGACGAACATATTCGTTGAACAGCATAATTTATAATCAATTTCCAACTGCCTAGAGAATTCTTCCTGATTTCCATTGATGAGAGGTTTGGTAAATAAGTCCAAAACTACCACAACCACTACTACTACTACTACTGCTACGACGACGACAACAACAACAACAACAACAACAACAACGACCACTACCACTACCACTACTACAATACTACTTCTACTACTCATTTTACTAGTGATGTGTCCACGAATTCTAATTGTATTACTTTGAATAACTTCACGATGTCAGCTAGTGGCGAAATTTCCCCTCCGTGAAGGGAGATATTCAGATGAGAATCCTCACTATTCGACCAAGACAAGTGACAATTTGTCGCGTTACCCAAAAGTTCGCATCATATTCCCCATATAGAATCGTGTGACTATTTCCCCTCTCTGTTTGTTTGAGGAATGCTATGCGAAATGTGAAGTTCGTATACGTGTATGTAAGCGGATTGAGTGGTTGAAAGTGTTGGTTGGAGTGTAGTATCTGGTGATGTGGTCGATTGTACAACGGTAATGGAATGCCAATTGTCAATGAATAGTCATCAACATCTTGTGAGTGTGCGTACAATCGAGTGGTTGAGGCGTGTTAATGCGAATTGGAGTGACGAATGTGTTGTTTGTTATGGAGAGGGAATTAGTGGCTGGTTGTGTCAGTAGGAGTGATAGTGAAGTGAGTGAGTGAGTAGTCAGTTGGAGGTGGATATGAGATGTTTTGGAAAAAGGCCATCCGAAAGTAGCGGATGTGTCATGCCTCAGGAGAGTGGGCATCAGATGCCCTGTCCGACCTTGTGCAGGGGACTGCCAACCATCTCTCCTTTTCTGATGCACGAGTGTTGTCTGACAATCCTAAAACACCTCACTACAACACACTTCACAATCAACCACGTCATTCGTTTGCACGTCTTATCCCAATCTAATTAATTAATCATCGAATCCACAGCACACACTTCTACACATCATCTACACTACAATATACAGTCGCCAATCAAATTACTCACCAACAGTAGTGCATTCACACCACAATTCATCAACACCTCATCAGTAGTATATTCAGTTCACACAACAAATTTCTTTTCATGCACTCCACTTTTCATGCAACACCAAACTACTGTCGCGCACTTCAGTAGCACAATGAGGTCAACTAAATATCGTCGGTTTGTGTTGTGTAGCATAGCATTGCATTGCATTGCGTCGCGTTGCGTGGTATGGGATGTGATGGCATGGCATGGAATTTCATTGCATTGCATTGCGTTCTGCTGCACCATCTCCTTGTCTCATACTCTAGTCGTACCAGACAGTCGTACGACAATATGCGTGACATTTGTTTTGGGGAATCGTGTGATTTTCAAATGACATTGATCAGGCCTGTTTCATGCTTAATACTATGGTGATAAAGGATGCAGTACCAACTGGTTACATTCCACCAACCCTGTATATCTGTTTGTGCGTGACTGATGCACACGATGGTCCTCCCACATTTTCCCATTCCCTTCTCTCCTTCACATTCTCGTGTCAACTGAGTCGACTGTTAGTGTCGCACTCACTCACACACACTCTTCTCCACTCTCCCACACTCCTAACATCAGTACACTCGGAGGCTAGACGACGCAAGCAAGCATCTCAACTGACCAAGTTCACAATACCGGTTGCGCTCAACCATGTCAAACCCGTATGCTATAGACTGCAGTTTGAAAAAGCTGATGAGGGATGTGAATGAGTCGAGATATGCATGACCACTGATTATCGGGTATGCACGTGTGAGAGTGAATGGTGCAACTTGTGGCTAACCGAATAACCAGAGGATTTGGATGTAGTTGTCTCTGACGAACATATTCGTTGAACAGCATAATTTATAATCAATTTCCAACTGCCTAGAGAATTCTTCCTGATTTCCATTGATGAGAGGTTTGGTAAATAAGTCCAAAACTACCACAACCACTACTACTACTACTACTGCTACGACGACGACAACAACAACAACAACAACAACAACAACGACCACTACCACTACCACTACTACAATACTACTTCTACTACTCATTTTACTAGTGATGTGTCCACGAATTCTAATTGTATTACTTTGAATAACTTCACGATGTCAGCTAGTGGCGAAATTTCCCCTCCGTGAAGGGAGATATTCAGATGAGAATCCTCACTATTCGACCAAGACAAGTGACAATTTGTCGCGTTACCCAAAAGTTCGCATCATATTCCCCATATAGAATCGTGTGACTATTTCCCCTCTCTGTTTGTTTGAGGAATGCTATGCGAAATGTGAAGTTCGTATACGTGTATGTAAGCGGATTGAGTGGTTGAAAGTGTTGGTTGGAGTGTAGTATCTGGTGATGTGGTCCATTGTACAACGGTAATGGAATGCCAGTTGTCAATGAATAGTCATCAACATCTTGTGAGTGTGCGTACAATCGAGTGGTTGAGGCGTGTTAATGCGAATTGGAGTGACGAATGTGTTGTTTGTTATGGAGAGGGAATAAGTGGCTGGTTGTGTCAGTAGGAGTGATAGTGAAGTGAGTGAGTGAGTGAGTGAGTGAGTGAGTGAGTGAGTGAGTAGTCAGTTGGAGGTGGATATGAGATGTTTTGGAAAAAGGCCATCCGAAAGTAGCGGATGTGTCATGCCTCAGGAGAGTGGGCATCAGATGCCCTGTCCGACCTTGTGCAGGGGACTGCCAACCATCTCTCCTTTTCTGATGCACGAGTGTTGTCTGACAATCCTAAAACACCTCACTACAACACACTTCACAATCAACCACGTCATTCGTTTGCACGTCTTATCCCAATCTAATTAATTAATCATCGAATCCACAGCACACACTTCTACACATCATCTACACTACAATATACAGTCGCCAATCAAATTACTCACCAACAGTAGTGCATTCACACCACAATTCATCAACACCTCATCAGTAGTATATTCAGTTCACACAACAAATTTCTTTTCATGCACTCCACTTTTCATGCAACACCAAACTACTGTCGCGCACTTCAGTAGCACAATGAGGTCAACTAAATATCGTCGGTTTGTGTTGTGTAGCATAGCATAGCATTGCATTGCGTCGCGTTGCGTGGTATGGGATGTGATGGCATGGCATGGAATTTCATTGCATTGCATTGCGTTCTGCTGCACCATCTCCTTGTCTCATACTCTAGTCGTACCAGACAGTCGTACGACAATATGCGTGACATTTGTTTTGGGGAATCGTGTGATTTTCAAATGACATTGATCAGGCCTGTTTCATGCTTAATACTATGGTGATAAAGGATGCAGTACCAACTGGTTACATTCCACCAATCCTGTATATCTGTTTGTGCGTGACTGATGCACACGATGGTCCTCCCACATT